AATGAACTATGAAGCATAAAAATACAATATGGATGAATTTGAAAAACAGTATATTGAGTGAAAGATGCCAGATAAAGAGTATGTATTGTGTGATTCCATTTATTTGAAATTCTAGAACAGAAAAATAAGTTTAGGCATAGAAATCAGTTGCTATGGGTGTGAGGATGTTGTTTGTGGGTTAGGCATGCAGAAAATCTCCTCATGATGGAAGTAGCCTATGGGGGAATAAAGCATGAGGAAATTCTCTTTGTTCTTGAAAATGTTCTATATTTTGATATAGGTATTATGCAAAAGGCACATATGAAATATATTTTTTAAGACTCACAATTGGTGCAATTTAGATCCATGCTTCACTCTACATATATCTTCCTAAATTTATTTTTCATTTGTTCATTTAACAAACAAATAATAATTGTGTATATTTATGGGGTACAAAATAATTTTTCTCTATGTGTACAATGTAGAAAGATTAGAAATAGGAAGAGAACAGGTGTACACCATTTTTTAGTATATCTTACTCCAGATGAGGTTGTATTAAACATTACCCAATGGTGATGTTAGCTCAGAGAATACAACAGTTAGGTAGTCGTTGTAGCAACATATTACATTACAATATTTGTTATGGGTTTGCTATATGAAAGGACAAGCTATTAATATATATGTCAATCATTTAGAGATGAGGCTCTAATTTCAAATATTCTAGTTATCAGTTATGTGACTGCTGGAAAATTACATAGTTTATCTGAACTCCTTTTCTTCTGAATATGGGAATGGTAATATCTATCTCACATGAATGGGCTAAAGAATTTTTTTTAACCCAGTGCCTGCTACATATTTTAATATAGATGATAAATTCAAAGGATAAATCCCATATGATAATGATAATGTCACATACAATTTATCCATGACTTTGGAACTGTTCCAGTTTTACTAGGATGAAATTGATACACGCAGTATGATGAAGTATTTCTCATTATTACTTTAATTGTTGACTCAATGTAGGTAAGTGAATGAGTATCTTTACATGATGTAGGTCTCCATGGAACCGTTCAGAACATTTACGTTGCTTCGCTTCTTCCCTTAATTGTCCCTTACATTTTCTCACTGGGGAATAGGTATGGTGTTCTAGATAATTACCAGGCATATGAAGGCACCTTTTTTAAGACTCTCAGATGATGTGGGTATAATGATCTGAATGAATTACATACCATTTC